TCCCGGACCCGGTGGCTTAAAACTCATACCGGGCACGTGTGCGTGCGTGCCCAAGATCCCGAGAGGAGAATGGAGGAGAAGGGATTGCGGCGTGACCATCCCCCTGGGGGGTGATTTCTTGCTTTCTGTCTCTATGTCTCTCACTGTGTCTGGCGAGCGCACGTGCCCTATAGTGAAAATCTCTCCAAAAAAAAGAATTATTTAACTTTATTTATTTATTTATTTATAAATAAATAAAATAGTGAGAGAGAGAGAGAAAGAGAGAGGGAAAGTGAGGAAGCAAGCCGCCAGGTCTAGGAATTGAACCATGGTCCACCATGTGGGAGTTCAGTGCCCTAAACCACCACGCCTCCTGCCTGTCCCATAATTTGCTATAGTTGTATAGTTCATGTTCACTTGTGGGTGTGTAGTGGGGGGAGAGGAAGTGAGAAAATACTCCATAGGGATAATGGCGACATCACATTTTTTCTCCATTCTTATCTCGGGATTTTGCACATGCACGCGCATAGATACCAGGTGAGTTTTGTTTTGTTTTTTGCTATGTCAAAAAAGAACGTTTATTATTTCAATCACAGCCTCTTATGCTTTCTTGCCAGATGCTTTTGGTGCAGGTGCTTTCTGGCCTGCAGCTTTCTGACCCTTCTGAGCTTTGGAAGGCAGCGCGGCCTTCTGGCCTGCGGCTTTCTGAGCGGGAGCCTTCTGGGCTGGGGCCTTCTTGTCTGCGTCGTTATCTTCTTCACTGGCACTTTGGCAGCAGCAGCTGCAGCAGCACCTGCCCCCTTAGCAGCAGGTGCTTGTTTGGGAGAAGCCCTCAGGAGAGTTGCCTTTTGAAGGTTAACTTCATTCTTGATTATTCTGTTCCTCATCCTTAACTTCATTCTTGATTATTCTGTTCTTCATTTTCTTTGCCTTCACGACTTTAAAACGATCAAAATCTGTCATCTTGACTTTCCTTTCTCTGGCTTCAAACTTCTTGGCCCATCTCATGGTTGTCCATTTCGTGTTGATATCTGCCTCCTGCCAGGCTTATCGCATGTACTTCTGGCGTGCACTATGTGGGACCTTGAGGATGAAGTCAGTGAGTTGCATGCATTTGAATGGCATGGCCCGTCTCCTCACCTGAGTGCAAGTCCATCAACCAAAGCCCTGTTCTGACCAATAACATCTACAATTGCAACCAGCTTTCCGGCATGAAGGCCAAAGGAGACGTAGGCCCCCCAGCCAACCTCCACAAAGCGTCTGAACATCACGTTCCCAGTGTCCCGCGAGAAGGAAGAATCAGGCGAGTTTTTTTAATCAACTTGGTCTGGGACTTGAACGGCGTGTCACAGCCATGTGGGCTCCAACTACCTTCACCAATATCCCACCAGTTGGCCCAGGAACACCTGTGTTTTAATTCTGAAATGTATCCTCGAAATGCTCACTTTGCTTACTAGTAAGCCCATTGCTTTCACTTATGGCCACTATGAAAATAAGTTTCTGGATAAACTCATGGCCCTTCCTTCCTAAATCTTATTCTGTGAAAGAGCTGAAGGGCTTCTTTTTAGCCGGAACTACCATCTTCCAGTAATTAACCAAAATGACGAACACAAAAGGAAAGAGGAAAGGCACCCGATATATGTTCTCTAGGCCTTTCAGAAAACATGGAGTGGGTCCTTTGGCAACATACATGGGAATCTACAAGAAAGGTGATATTGTAGACATTAAGGGAATAGGTACCGTTCAAAAAGGAATGCCCTGCAAATGTTATCAGGGCAAAACTGGAAGAGTCTACACTGTTACCCAGCATGCTGTTGGCATTGTTGTGAACAAACAAGTTAAGGCCAAGATTCTTGCCAAGAGAATTAATGTGCATATTGAGCATAGTAAGCATTCTAAGAGCAGAGATAACTTCCTAAAACGTGTGAAGGAAGATGACCAGAAAAAGAAGGAAGCCAAACAGGAAGGCGCCTGGGTTCAACTGAAGTGCCAGCCTGCTCCATCCAGAGAAGCACGCTTTGTGAGAACCAGTGGAAAGGAGCCTGAGCTACTGGAACCTATTCCCTATGAATTCATGGCATGATGGGTGTTAAAAATAAACTAATCCGTGGTCTATTAAAAAAAAAAGGGGGCTGGAGGTAATAATATAAAAGTATTTAGGGGACCAGCCTCTGGCATGGTGATTAAGGAGGCTCGATTCTACCTGACGGACTGTGCTGTTCAAGTCCTGGACCCCAGTGGCCTGGAAAACATGCCTGGCATGCGCATGTGTGTCCAAAATCCAAAAGGAGGAAGAAATGGAGAAGGGATTGAAGCGTGATCATCTCCCATGGGAGTGCTTTCATCTTCCTTTTTCTTTCTCTTTCTCTAGTTAGGACCCTCTGTTCCCCCCCACCCCAAGAAAAAAATGCTTAGGGGTGGGTTTCATATCAGGAGGTACTCAGGTAGTCTTTTTTTTTTTTTTGAGAGGTTTTTGCTATAGGGCACGTGCGCTTCCCAGCCAGAGAGACAGAGAGTCAGAAAGCGAGAAATCACCCCCCAGAGAGGATGGCCACGGCGCAATCCCTTCTCCTCCAGTTTCCTCGGCACGCACGCACATGTGCCCAGCATGAGTTTAAGCCACTGGGTCCGGGATGCAAACCACGGTCGACTACATGGGAGTCCAGCGATATAGCCATTATGCTAACTCAGGTCCCAATACTCAGGTAGTCTTAGCGGACTTTCTAGCTGCGCTTTGTCAAGTCAATCCCTGCTGGTTCACAAAGGGGAAGTGTGATGGTCCAGGAAAGACTTTAGTGGCGGTGCTAATCTGTAGCTATTAGCAGGGGACAGGCACTTCACAGCTGCTTGACTACCATCTGTCTTGTAATGAAAAGACCCTGGACTTCGGAACCACATCAGCTGGACAGGCTTAGGCCCTGTTACAAAATTTCCTTGAACCCATTTCCTCTTGTGTAAAATGTCACTGCTCTTGCATCCTGCACTGTGACTGCGAGGGACAGGCAGTGGCTGCAAAGGGCCCAGGCCAAGGTGGTCCACTATGAGTAGCGATCTACCTCTCTGTGAAGCACTCCTGACCCACACCTGCTTTCCTGGCTGGGGTATCCCAAACCAGCAGAGATTCTAAACTCCATCTCTATTTTTGGATGTGTGAAACCTTAAACTTGAAAAGTGTCTTTAGTTTAAAAGCACAGAAGTGTTAGAGAAGTTTTGTTATGAATGTATTTATTACACTGTAAAAATGGGAAACAAATGTCTTCCAATAGGAAACAGAGTTAATTAACCAACATGGGCCAGTGGTGGCCTAGTGACTAAGGCAGCTAGAGCCCACGTGGCCACTGTGTGATTGAGTCTCAGACTGGCGGCTTGACAAACACTCCAGGCACATGTGAGTGGGTGTCCAAAATCCTGAAAGGAGAAATTGAGAAGAGATTGTGGGGGGACTATCCCCCATGGGGGGTTCTTTTCATCCTCTACCTCCCCCTCTTTCCGGGCAGGTAGAGCCCACACCCTCTGGCAAAAAATAATAAAAAAAAAAAAATCAGCATAGCCAGGTGACAGACCATTTAGCAGCATTAAAACGATGCTTTGGAAATTTGGTCCGTAACAAGCAAAATATGAATGACAGAATGCGAAGAGAAAAGCAGTGAACAGCACAATCTGATCAGGCTCTGGAGAAACAAGTAAGGTCCACAGCTAACCAGGCGCCAGGGCGCACCCAAATCAAACGCTTCTCCCTGGGAGCTGGGAGGGGCGGAAGGAAGTTACTTTCTTAACGAACTTCTGTGTTTCCTAAATTCCCATCAAGGATCAGGTATTGCCTATAAATCCGAAAATAGCCATCCACGTTTGGAGCAGGACGCGTCAGGGCCGTCCAGGCCGCAGCAGGCGCGCGCCAGTTGGGCGGGCGGACGCAGCAGGGACTCGGGGCAGACCCCGGCGCCCCCTGGTGGCGCCCGGAGACCCCCCGCCCCCCCGGGGCCGGCGCGACGGGGCGGGGCGCCGAGGCCCACCAAGCCCCGACCCGACCCGACTCGAAACACTCGGAGACCCGGAACGCACTGTCGGGAACAGCGCAGGTAAGCCAGGGGGCCGAGGCCGGCGGAGTTGGGGACTTGCGGGCTGGAGGAGGCTGGGCCAGGGCTGGGATGGCACCGGGTCGGGACCCTCAAACTTGTCGGAGCGCGCGGCTCCGGGAGTTAGCCTCGGGCCGGCTGTTCCGGGCCA